ACCAATAAATAAGCATGTCTGATGTACCATCTTATGCTTGCTAAATATATAGATACGAGGAGAAACAGGGCTTTGATTCCTTGACTTGCCAGCACTCCGTGGTGATGATTCTTGGCTGGCTAGTGGTGAAATGGACTAAGAAGTGAGTCTGGCTCTGTAACGTCGTTGTTACTTAATCTCTTGGGACCTCTGATTCCTCAACTTGGAGCATCAGTGTTCTCTTTCACCTTATCCTGTAGACATGATTTTGTTTTTTAACTAGCTTGGAACCAAGGAAAGATGTAACACCCAGATTATTTAAAAACTGATGGGATGTGGCATGGCTCTTTCCTATGCTTCTGTTGTTCCACAGTAAATTCACGATATTTATGGGGTTTTAATCCCAGTGAATTTTTCCCTCAAAAATTAAACAGGGTAATAATGAACCACTTTCTTGCATTTTCTATCAAGACAGCTCTTTGTGAGTTCTAAACGTTCTGTCTAGATTCAAAGCTGGTTTCTTCATGAGTGGTTGGAATAAGACTTTTCTTGGAAGCTATTGAATATGGATTAGTTGGATTGTTTCGCAGGAAATAAAAAGCAGGCGCTGGGGTGACTATTTCAGCACTTAATTGGGTTAGCAAAGAACTGCAAATGAGAGGTTTTCCTTAGGAGGGAAAGGATGTTTACAGCTCCCACTCCCTTAGGTGGTGGATTTTAACCTAAACACTAGACTTTGAATGCAGCCTTTAATTTAGGAACCATTACAAGAATCTATTAGAGCAGAAAATGTCAGGTTGAAAAATTAACACATCACAGTAGTTAATTAGAACCCAGCCCCTCATTAGATGCAAATGGAGAGTGCTCCTACTGCCCAACAGCCTGCTGAAGTCATGTTTGTTGCAGCTCCAAAGTGGCTGCATTTTTACTACTGAGAGGTTGGACTGAGGAAGCTACCCAGGGACTCAGGCCAGAGCCATTAGGGACCCATGGCCTGCCCTTTAGCTTAGCTGAAAGTCCTATTCACATGTTGCTGTCTTTTCCTTTCAGAAACACTGTGCATGTCACAGGATGGATATCCCTCTGCCTGGAACTCCCTCAGGGAAGTGTTTTCTGTAACAAAGACAAACATGCCATGCCTGTCACCAGGGGCAGATTGTCGACAGTGTAAACCACTCCATGAGAGGGAGGATGAGGGGCTCTAGGCCACTCAGACTTAGCTCTAAGTCGTGGTCTTTGTTTTTTTTTTTTCTACATTCAGACTGAAATGTGATTCCTCTGGCTTTCTTTCTTGGAAAATACCTGTGATGAGTTCCATGCCTAGAAAGAAAAGCTGTTGACAGGAAAAGCTTCTGATAGGAGAAGGGGCTTCTTCCAGTGTTCTCAAAGGAGACAATTGCTCCAAGCAAGCTGAGGCAGGGATGCCAGGCCTAGGAATAAGAGGTCCAGATCACAAAAGGGTCATCTTTAACTATGAATTAGGCTGGGCGTTAAGCAGTTTCCTCTACAAGAGCAGTACCATGTACACAGAGTTTAGGGCCAGGCAGATGTGTGTCTTGAGTCCTTTTCTACTACTTACTGTGTGATCTTGGGTAAATTGCTTAGCTTCTCAGAACATCAGTTTTCTCAAGTTGTTGTGAGAAATAAATGAAATAGTGAATGTAGGGCATGTAAGAGTATCTGCCACAGAGTAAAGGTTCTACATGGGTTGTTTGTTATTGATTTGATAATAACCTTTCTTCACCCAACACTGATGGTGTTTCCTTTGTTCCAGGTCCTGTGTGAGGGACAGGTCCTTCTTCTTGAGCTTGTGAACTTCATTGTTTAATAAACCATGTACATCTATCTTCAGCACAAAGCATGCCCCCTTCCCCTATTCTGCAAGTGCCCTAGAAGTGCCAAGTGCACATTAACTCTGCTTTGTTTGAGCAGCTCAGAATCTTGCAGGTTATCCCCCTTCAAGTAGCCCTCCAAATTCAGCTACCTCTACCTTCAATTTACCCACAATTCGCTATCTGTGTACTTACCATATGAGTTATTGTTGTTTGTTTATTCTTTGTCTCTTTCTACAAGGTCATAGAGAGTGGGGATCACCTATTCATTTGATCTATTCATCTGATTATTCACCTCTTTAGCCCAAATGATTGGTAGATCATTTGATCTGTTCATCTGATCATTTATTCACCTCTGTAGGCCAATGGTCTCATGCCTGACTCAGTACAGGCATACCGAAGATTCAACTCTACTGGTAAGAATGTTGATTTCCAGCTGGAAACTTTTTCTGAGAAAATAACCCTGCCCTCCATCTTTGAAGGGCCTAAGTTGGGTCCTGGTTTGGTTGGTCCTGTCATTTTCTATTACTCTGGTTCTAGCCTTAGTTTTCAAATCTCTTTAAGGGGCTAATAGATCCTTTATCACTGGAAGGTTATGATGATAACTGGAGACAATGCAGTTTTTATGTGCCCAACACAGTTCTAGGCACAGAGCCAAATACCAAAAAGTTAATTCCATTCTTGCCCTCAGCCAAGTTTAGTTGCCAATATAAGAAAACTAAAAATACAAGACAAAATATGAGCACCACATGAGTGTTACAGACATCCTTCCGACTTGTACCTAGCCTCTGCCATGTGTCAGAGAATTGGCTGAAATGGGAGGATATAAACAAGCATGAAAACAGTGGCAAGTGTTGGACAAAAGGATCTCAGGAGGAGGATAGAAAGCCCTTTACCCAGATCCTCAGACCTGGGCTGCTGGAGATGTCTTTGGCACCAGTCTGGAAAGCAGGAGGTTGTTCCATCACTGACCTCCTATAGCAGTTCCAGAAAAAAAAAAAGAACAGCAATAATCAAGTTATTCAGCACCAACTATGTGCCGGACACTATGCTAAGTGATTTACAGGCATTATCTTTTTTAACTCTTAGAACAACAATGTGCGGCAGACTTGAACTTTCCTGTTTTACACATTGCCAGTGTAGGGCTCAGAGAGGCACGGTGGCTTGACCACAGTAAAGCAACAAAGGTTTAGGAATCCACCTGCTGGGGATTTCACATTGGAAAGCAGAGAGAAGGTGGACCAGCCCAAAGCCCCCGGAGAGCTGGGAATGAGAGAGAGGAAAGGTGGACTGAAATCAGGTCGCATGATCTCTAATCTCCAGGACCATACGCAGAAGCAGAATAAGGAAGAAAGGGGTGCAGGCTGCAGGGGAGGGGTGCCTGGGAGGCTGGGGGAGGAGGAGTCCTAGTGGTTGTGCGTTTTCCTCGCCCCTAGTGCACAGGTCAAGCCTCTCCCCTCCCGCCCTCTCACCCTCCCAACTTTATTTAGAAACCGTGTCCCCGAGACAGGAAGGGCGGCGGGCCGAGAAGCACGGAGCGTCCCGGTCTCATTTCCTTTCGAATCCCCCTGTGGAATTTCATTTCATACGGTGAGGAAATCGGAGCGCGAGACCGTCGGCTGCTCGGCTGCTCCGCGGCGCCTCCCCCACTCGCTGCTGGAGTCAGGCCGCTCCCGGGCGCAGGTCGGGCCGAGTCTGGGGGCGGGGAGAAGGGGGCCGGGCTCCGACCGCAGCAAGTGGGGAGTGAAAAGAGCTGCGAACTCGCGCCGTACGAGGCACGGTGCTAAGCGTTTTACGCTTTCTCTCGAATCCTTCCAAGTCACTTTACTAGTGAGGAAACTGACGCCGTGAGGTTGGGCAGTTTGCTCAAGGTCACACAGCAGGGATTTAGACCCACGATCTGTAAATCCAAATCCCGTGTTCTTTGTGTACGTTTCTTTGCCTGATGGGGAGGTGGCTACGGCCGAGGTGACAGCTGGCAGAAGAAGCAAAGGAAAGGGGACAGATAGATCTGGGAGCACTTCTCACCTGGGAGAGGACGGGGTAGGTTGGCCGGGCCGGGGCGACTCGGCTCCATCCCCGCCTGGCCCCTGAGCGCCTGGATCCGGGTGAGAGGAAAGTGAGCTCCGGGAAGCGGGGCGGGGCGGGGCGCTCGGGGGAGGGGGAGACGGAGGGACGGGGGGCCGGCGGCGGGGGCTGGCCCTTCCC